TTTCATAAATATACAAAGAGGTAATCTGGAACACTGATAAATGATAACGTAACAAGGTTTGTAAGAATTTTTGCAGTCACAAAAACAAATGCCAAAAATGTTTTTAAGTCTTTGAAGAATTTTATTAATGATTTTGGTCTACCGGTAAAAATAATAAGTGATAGAGGATCCCGTTTTACCTTTTTACAATTTAAGCAGTATTGTCCAGACAAAGGTATTCATCATACCTTGAATTCTACCAAACTATATAATAAGCGTGTCAAGATAATAGTTTTAGGAACGGTAATGACTAGCCTATTAGGTTAATAATACAAGGATTGGGACTCCAAAATAAAAATAAAGCTGAAATATCACCAACATGGTAAATAAAACTACAAATAAAACACCATTTGAAATGTTACGTGGATATTCAACCAGATTTAATGAAACCTTCGCAGATAACAATAGACACATGCAATAACCCGCGAGAAATCCAAGAACAAAGTCGAAGAAAAATCGAATAACAACCAACGAAAATGAAAACAATTCGACAGAAAGAGATGTCGTACAGTCATATCTGAACTACCAGAAATCGCTATGATGAGATATGCTGCAAAAGCTACAGGCGAGGCTATGGAAACACAGACGAAATATCGTGTACTATTTGTAATAACGGTAGCATTACCCAGTGATACTTACGAAGTAACACAACTAGAAGCGAAGAAATGAGGACTCTTGTTTCATTTACCACAGCTCATGTGAGTCAAGTAAAATCATGGAAGTATGAGCCCAGTTTATGATGAAGAGGGGGAGGAAGAAAATGATGACAACCAGGGCACAGACCAGTTACCAACATTTGGATTCTCGACGAAATCCCCGAAGATCCGTGCATAAGGACTAACAATGGTAAATTTTACTTCGTCTAAGGTAAGAACTTTCCCTTTTTATGTCTATATGCATGTAATAACTGATAAAGCCTCAAAAGGACTTTGTACATAACAGAACTTTGAAACACTTATAGTGTATTTCATTTAATTAATGATTAAGATGGTTAATGATATTACATTGTGATTATTTTAAGATTTATAATGTCTCATTGATATTTAAAATTGATTACGTATTTAGTTACAATCTTGAGAGAATTTTTATTATTATATTATTCAAGTACATTTAAGAAGTTCAATATTAATATAAACTTAATGGGTATGTTTACAAATTTAATGAAGAAATATGTAATAAATTCTATAACGGGCAGAAAATATGAGTTCCATTCTATGATGCACAGAAATATATATAAAATTCTATAATAATATATAATAATAAATTCTATTAATATATCTATAATAATAATTCTAATATATATAATATAAAATATCTATAATATTTCTATATATAATATATTAATATTCTATAATAATAAATTCTATAATATAATATATTATATCTATAATAATAATAAATTCTATAATATAATATATTATATTCTATAATAATAATTCTATGTATATAATATATATTCTATAATATGTATATAATTCTATAATTTATAATAAAAATAAATTTGTACTCACGCGTAATTAATTTAAAACCGTTAGAATTCCTAAAAAATCGAAGCATTTTATTTGTTTAAGAGGTTTCTTACTGCTCAGGAAATATAAAAACTACGGCACTGTGTTATATTTTAAAATAGAAGATATGTATTTATTTATATACATTCCTTCAATCAGACGTCGCCCCATCAGTTCTCGACGGATTAAGACAGCTGAATATTAGAACATAAGCGAACAGGCGGGCTGCATGGTTGGTTTTCTTTTTTTTTCCCTATGTGTGACCTGTATACCAATCAGTGTCTTTTATAATGTCTTCCATGAAGGCGTCTACTCCCTTAAGATAGATTTTCTGTAATTTTGTCCTCCTGTATATGCATTTAGCAACAACTCTGTTTACACAAAATACAATTCTGTTTACCGTCTGCCTGTTTATTGAAAATAAACTTTCCTGCAACAGGAAGATAAAATATGCATGATCCAAAAGCATATTTGTTTTGTGAAATGCTCGAACAGCTGGCGTTACAGTCCAAAAAATAATTGCAAAATTCCCTCCTGGATTGTGAAAATCAAATTCTTGCAAGCATCGAGGTAATTATAAGTAGTGCAATTTTGTTACTGATAACATTAGTATATATTTAAAAGTTCCTATATTGTTAAAGACATTGTATGATTCGTTCACGTCCATGGTTTTTTATACAATAATAAAGCGTAGAAAATGAGGGAAAAAAGATTCAGTTTCATTGGAGTTGTGCAACAGCTTGAAACTAGAAACCTTTCTTTTAAAACTCAGTTGTTGCCAGAATTTTAAAACAATCTTAAACTTTTTTCTTAAACTGTGATTAAGAGTATTTAAGTGCATCAGCTACAGCTATCTGTTTCTTGTACGAAGCGTTATTTAAATTTTATTCAAACATTTACAGATGCAGTCTTCAAAGTAATTTTTAAATACCAAGCGCAAAATCACAAAACGATCTTACAATATTCTATTTTTTTTTTCAAATGTGGGGACATTTTATCAATCTACAATATGTAGTATGCAGTGTTTAGTAAATGAATTGCGCTAATTAATTGACACAAAATTCTTACTGATCATTTTATTGAAGTGGACTTAATGCTTTTCGCATTTCCATAGTGTAGAGCGAAAAACAAAATGTAAGTTCAACTAGCCAGTCTTACACCCACAAGAGTAAGCCTGAGACAAACTAACAGCGTGGTCGGTCTTTAACCAATCGGAGTATTAGCAGATCCTCGTGTAATGTATAAGCCAAAAAATATTCATTAATATTTCCTTGATCTATTTAATTTAATTAGCTATTCTTATAATTGGAACAATATAAAGGGTGTTTCAAAATTTAATGGAACGGACTTTAATTGAGATAGGATATAATCAAAACGATCACTCCTCATCATAGAAAGCATGGGTCATACGATGAGCGGTTAGGCACTGAAGAACTTTCACTGAAAATTACTTTCCCTGAATGTGACTTCCTTAGGTATGTGACTCAATATATGCTGTCTTCCTATAGCAAGACAGCAAATGACGATGATCGCCTTCTCCTCATTTTTTAACTCAGTCTAAATTGGTAATTAATTACATGCGTATAAGTGAAATACTCCTTATTCTTCTCCAAATCAATCTCGTTCTCCAAATCAATCTCGTTCTTTCAGACTGTTAATGTTTGTGCCAACTTGCGAAACTGATATTTTAGCCGGAAATAGGGCTCAGTAAAAGTAAGGTTATTGGTGGTCACGTGATGTAATTAAATCTGGGATTGAAGATTACCTCCTAGGCGATAGAGGATGCCGGAAGGGTAAAGGAGCGAGACCATTGTCTGTTAGCAAAAAATTACTTGACTTATTTGACAGTCGTAATTTTACTCGACTTATTTAACAGTCTTAATTTGTAGAGACATTAAGTATTTTTTGAAAGCAGGAGTCATGAAAAATTAGCAACGCCTTCGCCGGGAATCGAACCACGGACCTCTGGAATATGCGCCAAGCATGCAGACCACTACATCACGAACGCACGCTAAGAAGGCGGGAGAAATACCTTATACACCATGCTTCAAAAACATGAAATATAAAAATCATTATTTCAAAAGCTGAAACATGCCATAACTGAGAAGCGTATAAGAACAAACTGTACAAAAAAAAAAAAAAAAAAAAAAAAAAATACAAAATATAAATCAAAAAGGAAAAATAATACAAAAAGAATAACGATGATGCGCTAGAAAGCCACAACTTCTATACGTACATCTATCTCTATATGTTTGCGTTATGAATAATGTAACATATGGGGAAACGGAAAATACCGAGCTCTTGGCCGTTACGTGAGATTTTTCTGACGGAAACTGGCCCTTATCTACGTTACACATGAAGAAACGCACGAAACGATCTGAGCAGACTTCCAATTAATCGGGATTCAAATCCCGAACGATCTGCTAATATACATCAATCTTAGATTCTCCACCATTGATAAAGTTTGGAAAATGTGTATATAATATTCGAAAATATAGATTTGACAGTTTCTTTTACTTAATTTTAGTTCTATCAGTTGGTGGAGTACACTTTCCTATCAAAAGCTTTCCACTTTATTTATGCAAAGACTGATAATGTTTGGGAAATCCGTTTATAATATTTGAAAATACAGGTCTGACAGTTATCTTTTATATTATTTTTATTCTATTATTTGACATGCTTTCTTGTCTGAAATTTTTCTTTTTGTTTAGGTAAGGAATTATACTTAATTCGAGATAAAATAATTTTTTTCTATTCTTAGATGTAAAACTACTCTCGATAAATTTAATAAACAAGTCGCAGATACTGTTACAATAATTGTCTCCAATTTATTTGTCCAGATTTTCAATAACCATAATATGATACTTTTCTGAATGAGGAAATATTAATTTCCATTTTCTCTAAAACACCCATTATGAAAGTGAGTTCTTTGCCAGTGTAATCAGCCTTATTAAATATTCATGACGACCATACTACGATCAATGCATTTTCGGTGAAGGAAAAAATATAATGATTGTCATATTATTAATCATGAGGTATTTGAAACTCCTTGACGGGTTTACAGTATTTATGCAGTCATAAGATATTTTCTGGAATTGTTAATTACAAGGGACTGACTTAAACGTCTTCGGAAATATATAATACGCCAGAGTTTCAAGAGAATCAGCTCCAATGAAGAGTGTCAAACTGAGAAATCGACATTTCAGTAAACCACGTTAACACGAACTCGCTTAAAGCGAACTCTCGGTTAACACGAACAAAATTTGTGTCAAGGAAGCGATGCACATGATTTTGCAGGACGCAAATTTTGGGTTAGCACGAATTGCAAATTTTCATGGCAAAAAATAGTCATAAAACTAGAGAAATCCGTACATACTATATGCTTATACAAATTATCACTATATATATTGTGAAATATATAGACAAAGTTAACATAAAAAAGGTAATGCATACCTTGAGTTGTGTTTGTTGCTGTGTTTCAGCAGGGTCGGCTAAATCTGGATCTTTTGTTCTGATCAACTTGCTAACCATAACCAGCATTTTCTGCCGGAAGTTCTGAGACCCAAGCACGAACATCGTCCCTGCCGTTGATCACCTAGATGAGCACAAAAGAAATATATTATTAATAAAATCTAGGTGAACACTCAATGCACAATTATTAAACAGGTGAGAGATACTAATGCGAAATATAAATATAATAAGACACTGCTCCAAATACAGGTACTGCAAATTTCCGCTTTAAATTCGCTTCGATAAAAATTAAAAGATTTTTTATTTCGGTCAATGAAAGATATCCGAAGGCGATTTTCTCTTTAATCAAAACAAAAGATAAAAAGTAAAAAGATGTTCCAGTGACTGCTTTACACATTGACTGCAGAAATGTCTAGCTAATTGTGATACAGGTTTAAAGAAATTCTTATTCCTAGAAATAAACTTTAAAAAAGAATTTCAACAATCTTAGAAGCCAAACTTAGTATCTTACTGCAAGCTTTTCTCATTGAACTAGAGTACGACACTTTCGATTTTCAACAATGAACAAACACATATAGAAATTGTAGGTGGTAAATGATAGTATAATAATACTTGAGTTTTATCCTCTAATCCTTTCTTTAACATAGTAAATCATGTATCTCATACAATAATATATCCCACCACGCAACGAATTATTATGAGAGCCATACTGTTACAATCCTGAATGAGGTATTTTTGTCCTCTCATCCTTTAACACAATAAACCATGTATTTCATACAATCATATATCCGACGACGCAACGAATTATTATGAAAGCTATACTTTTACAGTCCTGAAAGGGGTATCTAGGTACAATAAAGTAGTTATGCGCTGTCCGATGAGGACAGTTACAGCGCCACCTGGTAGAAAAGGGAAAAGTTAGCGTTTCTATTTCGAAAACAATACAAGATAAGAAAAAACGTGACTTACAGAGTTGTAGAGCCTCACCGATTTAGTACGGAAAGACATCTCGTCCACATGAATATTAAGAATAGAACGTTTTAAACACGCATTTTTTTGTTCACTATTTCCTACCGTGTGACGTAATGAAACGATCTAAAAAGGAAAAAAGCAACTAGTTATCACAAGATACCTTTATTTTTTATGTTCAAATTTCTCTCGTCAGCTGAAATGCACATCTGGACCCTTGTTAGAACTTCACGTTGCACACGTTGTAACATAACAAGTGCCACGTTTGCACGAGCACCCGTATACTTCGTTGAAAGTCCTGCAGTGTTTGCACAGGGCTGCATACACCTGCTGTTTAAGCTAAACCCACAGCAAAAGTCCACTGGAGTCAGGTCGATGAACCTGGAAACCACCATACACGATTATTCATTTTCCCAATTCCTCCATCATTAACTCATTCACTAGTGAACTCTTGTGCTTAGGCACAGCGTCATGTTGGCACCGTCCATTCCGGAGTTGAAGCGAGGGTTTCAACCGAATCGGGTATTACGCCTTGCAGAAGTTTTAAATATTGTGCGGCCCTAATAAACGTACCCTAATAAAATATTGGACCAATTAGCCTGTTATTGTAAATTCCACACCAGAAATGAATCGAACTGATGTCCAAAGTCGATAGAACATAATGGATTTTACAATCCTCAGTAATGGGTATTCTGTCTATTGCACATTTCATTCTGCTAAGAGCGCGTATCATCCGTCTACACTATATCTGGTAAGAATGTTGGCTGAACCACTATCTGGTTCAAAGTTGCGCCATGCGAAACGTCTCTCGGCCAAGATGTAGGAGAGTGTGTGATAATACATCTTCCGGTTAAACTTTCTGCCGTTCCTTAGCTGGTATGTCGGATCGACATCGGCTACTTACGCAGCCTGTCTCTCTTAAACGTTCCATAACCTGTAGAATGGTTTTATATGAAAGAAGAGTGTAACAGGAAAAAAGTTGCCGATACACCTGTGCTCCTGATAGTGCCTTGAGCCCACATTCACCGCAAAGAAAAACCATCTCAGAATAATCCGATTTTCAAAATCGCTCCATGAACATGAGTTTCAACCTTATACTGATACTGATACTGATTATGAAGTTTCTAATGTGGCCTAAGAAGGGACCTTCATAAGCTAGATAAGAAAATTAAGCCACTGAGGGCATATGACATTGATCAGCTAGTACGAGAAAATTCAGAAATTGTTCAGAAAGTGAGGTAAAATGGGGGGACCATTATCTCCTTAGCTGAATACGTGCCAATCTGTTGGAAAACGACGAGAGACAAAACTTACGATGCGCAAAAGGACAAGTAAACGTTGGCAGCCAAAGCTAGGTTATGAAGTTGGAGTCACTAAGGATGTGAGTAGCAAACAGTCTGATGAAATTATCTTCTGGAATGATTTCGTAACTAAGGACTTCTGAAAATTTGCAGCGTCACATCTAAGTCCAGTTTTGAAGAAACGCTCATTAGGTTTAGTAATGTGGTCCACCATAACAATCGATTTTCAAGTCGTCATGGATAAGATTGTTTCTAATCAGGTAAAGTGCATTTTTAATTCTTCGTAGAATCTTATTCTGTACCACCTGAAGTTTGTGGACGTCTACCTTTGAGGCTGATGCCCAGGCTGTAGATGCATGCCTTAGAATTGGCCTTATAATGTATATATATCCTTCTTTTTAGTTGAAAGAGAGTCCAGAGTAATTTTCAAGGAGTACTGAAAGCTGGTTGGCGATACCACAGGCTTTTCCTATGACGTGTTTATATGACAAGTCCATGTGAGCCTTTGGTAATGATAAAATTAGTTAACTTACATTCTTTACATTATTAACGTCTCCTATTACGTAGAGATTGTTCAATGCTATATTCTGAAACTTACATCTCCTTATCAGTAATACTTAAAGCTATTTATACTGAATTTTCCATTTTTTTGCACCATTCCTCAGTAGCTTAAAAAAATCTTGGAGTTTGTAAATGGCATTATTTGGTTGGACAGAGTTCATGGCTACCACCGTATCGTCGGTACAGCAAGCTAACATCGAGTTATGATCCAGTTTATCTCTGGGAAAACCGATTACGTAAAACAGTAGAAGATTGGCGCAAGACAGGAACTCCTGCAGTAATGTTTTTGAAGACATTTTCTTCATTAACAGTGAAAGTTTGTTTGGTAAGGAAGATATTGAACAGAAGAATAATTTCCCGAATAAAGTTCCTCTTGATTAGTTTGCAGATCAACCCATTATGCCAGACGCGGTCGAATGCTTTCGCCACCTCTATCATAAGGAGTTCCAAGCATTTCTTACGGAGCAAAGCTGCAGTGATAAATTCTACTACCCTGTTAGTTGCTTTGAAGTAGGTGCTTCCTGAATCCACATTTATCTGAGGGTACCTGAGGATATGGAGGATATAAGTACCTGAGGATATAGATTAAAACTTTTTAGATAATGCGTTCATAAATTTTGCTGAAATTAGAAAGCAAGCTAATACAACATACAGCCGCAATGGCATAGCTCTTTGATAGCTGTCTTAGGTGAATAGGTGTGACGTTTCATACAGTATTTGCATAATGCACAAATTTTGCGCACCAAGTTCCAGTCAGGTTGAGTGGATGCGTTTTGCGACACAATTGTATACAATTTGCGTATTGTCTACTCTGCTTGTATAGAAAATCAGTACAAGGATGCACTCCGCGGTGTTTGAACCACATTCCCATCGACTGTTAATAACAAGCGATGCTACTGTGACGCGCTTTTCGTTCAAGTTTCGTGAACTCACAGTTTCAGAAATCACGCAGAATCAAATGTGCGTTTTCAGCTGTCTGTTTTTAGCATTCATGTCCAAAAAAAAGGTATCTTTTCGTACAAAGTCGATGATGCTTTGCAACTTTGTAATTCACGTTTTTCTCCTTATCTTGTACCGTTTTCTACATAGGAACTCTAAATCCTCCGTTTTCCACCAGGTGGCGCTGTAAGTGATCGCCTCTAGTAGCGCATAGCTACTTTACTACACCTAGGTACCACCTTTATGACTATAACTGCAACCGTTCGGCAGTCAAACGGTTGGTACCAGACTTTAGTGGTAGTCTGATTTGGTAGTTTCCGTTCGTGAAGAAGGCGCTGTAATCACGTACGATGGAGGCAGGATCTTAGAAGAGCTCCTAAATTTTCAAAGATATTTTTCAGAAAATATTCATTTATTTAAGAAAAATGTTCGCGAATATCCTCTACATTGTCTCGTTCTCAAAACCGAAAGTTCTCCTGAAGGTCTTATCTTCCTTGCAATCTTTTACAACACCAAGACGGAACATTCAGATAAGTAGAACTTCTTTTCTCTAAGCTAAAATCAAATATCTGTCACTACTAAAGTACCTTTAAATTCATTTATTTATTATGATGCATTAATTATTATGCTCATTTTATTATGTTCTGGCATTAAATATTTAGTTAATTGCATTTAAATCATGTGTTCCTTTTTTTTTTTGTTTTTTGTTTTTTGGTTACCATCTCGGTAGGGATACTATTATCCTTATCAGTAGCCCTTTATCAGTAGTGTAGTCTGTTAGCGCTACCCATTGGGGCCACCTTTGAAGGAATTTCTCGAGAGGGAAAAAACACGATCTTAGGGCCTCAATGAATGTATAGATTTGTAGTTTTTGCTCCTTTAATCTATATTTTCCTATCGTATTTAAATTAAAAGCATATATTAATACAGTGTGCTGCCTCAAATTGATAAAATAGTACCACATATAATAAATTATGACCATTAACTTAATAAATAAATAAAATGCTTATTTTTTTAAAAAAAATAATTCATATTAAAATTAAAAAAAAAACTGTAATTTATTTACTTATTTATTTTTGCTGATGTGTTCTCGCCTTGTTTTAGATTTATGATTTTATCTGATGGTGTTTTCTGAGTATATGAATACGTTGGAAACCGCAATTGATGATGTTACTTAGGTTAATGTATAATTTTTCATGATATTATATGCATCTTGATCTTATATGTCTTCTGATACTGTGTCTCAAGGTAGAGGCTAACGTATTGTTTCCCATGTTAAAAAATAAAAGTTTAATCTAAAAATTTTAAAATTTTTGTTTCCCTG